GTTTGTATATTTCAATCATAAGTTAAGTTATTTTTATGGATCTATGTATTTTTATAGATTTTTAGCATAATTTATAACTATAATATAATAAGATTATAATTATATAATTTAAAACTTTATTTTTAGTAAGTCCTTTTGCTTTAATGTAATTTTGTATGTAGTTTGTAGTCTCTGTAAAATACTATGTAAATTATTTATTGTAATTGTACTACTAATTATAAAATTTTAATATAATTAAAACTAAATAATTATAATATTCAACAATTAATATATGTATTATAACTTTGTACCTGCTTATGATTAATAACATATTATTACACAATAACTATTTTTTTATTTCAAATAATTCATAATTAATATTATGTTATTTTTTAACAGTTTTAAATAATTTAAGTTTTTTTATTTTATTAACAAATATTATTTTCAGATTGAGTAAATTATGTTTGAAAAATCCGTGGATAGTAACCCATGGATTTAACTAGATTTCATATTCAAGTAAAATATGTTGTAAAAAATCGTAAATATGGTTTTAACCTGATATCATATTCAAATTGCGTAAAATAGGTTTAAATAAATAAAATAGGATAGTTATCCATGGATTTAACATGATTACATATTCAAGTAAAATATGTTAAAAAAATTCGTGGATATTTATCCATGGATAGTTATGCATCCCCAAAGTTAGATGTTCGGGGTAACCATCTAACTCAGGTAAGCAAGTTCAACCGTAAGGTTAAGCTAGTTTTTTATCAATTTACCACACCTAGTTATTAAATATTATTATAAAGTAAATAAAATTGAAGAATTGTAAATGTTCATTTAAAATACATTGAAAAAATTAAGTAAAATACTTAGTAAGTTTCTTGGAGATTTGAACTCGAAAACCAAAACAAAACGACTGCCATTGCAATCGAATCCATGTAACGATCTCGTCCACATCATCCCTGATACACAACTGTTTGAATTTGGTACATTTGTTGACAATAACTTCACATATCTCCCTCGTCCTTTAACTTGCCGAATAAAAAATCCCTATCGGATTCGAACCAGCATCCTTCAGATCAGAGTCTGGTTTAGCGCTCTAACCGATTCGGCCACGGCGACAAAGTTTTTCCGAAGGCTAATGCTGGAAGGACATTCTTCGCCGACCAACCATCATGATTCGAGTCAAGGTCACCGGGGGATGATATGAAAATATTAAATGTTCACCCAGGGGGTTGAAAGTGGGCTCATTCGATTCCTCGGGTTCTTGCGAATTTCAAGCGGGGGGTTACAGGGGGGAAAATTTTGTCCATTTTTCGCTCAGGAGAGCAGAAAATCGACTTTTTGTAAATTTCACGTATTTTCTATGGGAATTTTTTGAAAACTTCTTGCGTTTTGAGTCAGATTATGTGCTGACCTTAACGACATGGTCGAGGTTCTTGATGTGGATCCCAATGGCGTGGTCAAAGACAGGGGACGATGTGTATAAATAATAATTGAATATAGGTACGCCCTTTAACTTGCCGAATAAAAAATCTCATCTGCACCCTTCGGATTTGAACCAGCCCTCCCAGATCTTCTAAAGTATAGTTTAGCGCTCTAACCGATTCGGCCACGGCGACAAAGATTTTTGGACGGCTAAAACTGGAAGGACATTCTGCGATTCCATCAACGATCGACAATCAAGTCAAGGTCACCGGGGGATGATATGGAAAAATTAAATTTTCATCTAGGGGGTTGAAAGTGGGCTCATTCGATTCTGTGGGTCTTTGCGAATTTCAAGCGGGAGGTTACAGGGGGGAAAATTTTGTCCGTTTTTTGCTCAGGAGAGCAGAAAATCGACTTTTTGTAAATTTCACGATTTTTCTATGGGAGAATTTTTTGAAAACTTTTTGCTGACCTCTATGATTTGGCCAAGGTCATTTATATGAATCTTCTTGACCTTGATCACATATAAATGACCTTGACCTTGACCTTGCCACGTCATTGAGATCCTATAAATGACTTGACCAATCATTGATCAGAAGAAGAGTTCGAAAACTTCCCATAGAAAAAGCGTGAAATTTACAAAAAGTCGATTTTCTCGTCTCCTGAGCGAAAAACGGACAAAATTTTCCCCCCTGTAACCCCCCGCTTGAAATTCGCAAGAACCCACAGAATCGAATGAGCCCACTTTCAACCCTCTAGGTAAAAATTTAATATTTTCATATCATCCCCCTGTGACCTTAACTTGAATCATGATGGTCGGTCGTCGAAGAATGTCCTTCCAGTATTAGCCGTCCGAAAATCTTTGTCGCCGTGGCCGAATCGGTTAGAGCGCTAAACTAGACTCTAATCCGAAGGATGCCGGTTCGAATCCGATGGGGATTTTTTATTCGGCAAGTTAAAGGGCGAGGGAGGTATATGAAGTTATTGTAAACACCTGTACCAAATTCGATCAATTGTTTGGCGTTGATGGTCGAGATCGTTAAGTGACTTCGGTTGCAGTGGCAGTCGTTCTTGTTTTGGGTTTCGAGTTCGAATCTCCAAGAAACTTATTAAGTATTTTAATCAATTTTTTCAGTGAATTTGATATAATAATTCAATAAATTGAATATAATAAGTCCAAATAATTTCTTCCAAAGTTTTTACATTATATAACTGATAATATGGACTATTAGCCTTGTATTTTTATAATAATTTATATATAATATATATATATATTAGCATAATTTAATATTATTTATATATTATAACGATGTATGCATCTAGCACGCTGCGAAATACTGCGTCTGCAATACTTCTGTCAGGTCTCTCGTTCGCACCATGCCTTGAAATTCGCTGGAATATCAGATTCCCAATGGTCGTCTTATCGTGATTTTGTTAATCGAAAGTAGAACGAAGTAATAGTAATCGTCAAAAACAAAATGTTTTTTGTGCACTGTGATTTTTAGCACTTTTTGCTCAGTATCTCCCAAACAGGTAAACCTGTCTTTGCCAAAAACGGACCAGGTGACAAGTTTTTGTAAAACAGCAAAACAACATATTTTTGCAATGATGAATTAGCTGGGATTTTTACTGAAGGTAGTCAGATAGTTGTTTGTTTGATACATGTGCGGCGGCACCCAAGATGGCCCAATAAAAGAGAAAAGACCAACGGCAAATGACCTCTTCTGCCTTTGGAGGCCAACAAGGACAGACCAATACATAAATTGTATTAATGTTCTACAATAATAAATAGCAGTAAATAAAATCACACACTTGTTATTCAACAATCACTTCACATATTATTTGTTGTGATGAAATGGGTTTGCAAACCATGGTTTCTACAATATAATTGTCCAAAGTTAAATTAGACCAAGTTTTTGAAAAACAGCAAAAAAAACTTATTTCTACAATGATGAATTTAGCTGAGATTTTACTGAAGGTAGTCAGATAGTTGTTTGTTTGATAAGTACATGTTATTTGTTGTGATGAAATTGGGTTGGTTTTAACAATATAATTGATCAAAGTCAAATTAGACCATTGTTATATACTACATGGGAAATGTTTCGAAAAAACACAATACTAAATAATTTTTGGTAATTAAAATTTAAAAAATTTAAATTTGTTAATATTTATTTATTTTATTTATTAATATATTTGTGTGACTAATGTCAATATCTTACAAATTTTCATATAATTCAATTATTTATTGATACATTATTTAATTAATTCACTATATACTCATATATTTTTAATAATTTTAGTTAATTTTAATTATTTTTATAATATAAAGGCTTAATAGTTTAAACAATTGTTTCATAAAAATTAGTGCTTATATATTATGGTATTATCATTATTATTTTTTAATAAGTATTTTTTGCAATGCATGCAGTTTGTTTTATAAATATTTAGGTATTTAATTATTATTAATTTTATTTTTAAGTAATACTATACAACAAGATCATCGAAGGGATTATCATAGTGAAACCACTAGATAAACTTTTGTTAGTCGGATGATATTAAATTAAATGTTATGTGAGATGTAGGATAAGTTTAATAAGTCATAGTTATATATATATATATATATATATATATATATATATATATTAGAGATGGGCTTATCATATCCGAAGCCGGATCGGTTAGGATTTGACTCCGCTTCAGAGAGGAGTTATATCCACTTAACAACTCCACAACTCCGACAACTTTGAAACATAATACTTGATACAAATGTGTCCTCTAGTGTGTTGTTAACATATCTAAGGATTTATTAAGACGATGGAAATAGTTTACAAATAGTTTATTTTTGTTCATTTTATTATAATAATTAATATTTTATGCATTTCAATATGCATACACATCTCAAATTGACAAAAAACTTGGAAATCAAAATCAATTTTGTAATTATTTTGAAGAGAAAATATTGAATTCTTTGAATATGTTTATTTTTATATAAAAATTATATAAAAATTATAAACGTTCTATATGAAATAAGAACAAATCTTTGTGTATAATATTTTTCACAAAATAATAATACCTCACATTCTATTTCCTTTTCGAGAATTAATTATACATCAGGTAGTTTGATTAGCATACTATTACTTTTACACAATTATAAAATCATAATTGTGTAAAAGTTATAATATTGAATATTTTTTAACTGGTTGTTTACCCTTGAAAGAACTCATTTACGGACAAACATTATCGTATACAGAATATAGAATACAAAATAGCATTATTTTGAGACATTATATACCTGAAAAGACCTAAAACTGGCTGTGAGACGAGAAAAAATCACTTCTTTCAACCCAAATCTTTGTATTAGTAAAAAATCTCAAGGAAATATCTGTACATGTTAACAGATTAGGTACTAATAGGGAATGCTGGGACGAATTAGGAAAGTCGGATATGAAAAATCCTATGAGACAACTCCACTCAGATTCACTCCTATTCTATTATATATATAATTGATATATTATTATCATGCCTCAGCCTGGTATAAGAGATTATGAAATAATTTTCTTATTCTATATATACATATCATTTATGTCTGTTTCATTTTACATTAATAAGCCTTATATTTAAATATCTTTAAATATCTCTTCAATCTTTTTCGCCTTCAATGACTTTAAAATATTACTTTATTTTCCTTTTGAAGTCATCACTGGCCATCTTAATATCGATTGGAAGTTCATTATATATTTTTTTCTTAACATACCTACAATAAATAAATATATAAATACTAGTTGTGAATAAAAGTAAAACATGAATGTCGAAACTCTCAACACTTAAAAGAACTCTATTTCTATAAACACATACTTTTATATAATAAAAATGGCTCAATTTAACAGTAAGCAAATGAATAATTAAATGAATATATACAGACAAATCGTAAGTGTCAAATGTGTATTATATTCATTCATCAAGAACAATTATGTGTAAAAAATTGATGTTTTTAATACAGATTTTGTCTATATTTGACATTTTTATATATAGTTATTTATAATTACTCACTTTTGAAGTTGTTTGCCCATATAATTCTGTTGAACAAGTTGTTTCAATGGCAGTACAATATTGCAATGCAATTTTAATCTGTCATCATGCTATGAAAATAAAGAGATACTTTATAAAAACCTTTGTAAAGGTTATAAGACTCGATGAAATTAAAATTCATTTAATATTATTCATTTTGAGTCAGAAAAGTAACATTTTGCCTGAAGGCAAGTTCAATAACTTCACAATAGGTGCAATATGTGACTTTATCATTCGAAATTGGGATTTTAGTTAAATTTTCTTTATTTCGGATGCAATGAAGACTTAAGTTAAACTAACAAATAACTCAATAGAGTGTCAACAATTGAACAAATTTATCATACAAATGTTTACATTTGTTTAGGTATAAATGTGGGTACTTATCACAATAACCCTTATTTAGTATGCTCATTTTAGATATACTAGATCTTGGTAAACTAATGAATGAAAAAGTGTACACCGACTTCCATTCATTATATAAAATAAAAATAATAAAGTTATCCATCAATAGATTATTTAGCATAAAAACCATAAAAACATTCAGTATCATTTGTTTTGACTATAATTTTAAGCATTTGATATTTCTTTTCATCATGTCATACAACAATTTCTAAGTTCTAGAACATAACTACAGAGTAATAACAGATTTAAATATATGTATAATAATTTTAATTTAATAATATTACCCGTTTCAGTAGCCAATTCCATAATATTTGTATAATTTTGTAATAATTATAAATAAATAAACACAATTCATGATTTAAAATTAGCACTCTTTGACAGTTTGACAGCTTTCAAACTGTCAAACTAAGGTGTAAATTTAAAAAATCTCAAACAGCGAGTCTGGAGTATAAAAATTGAAAAAATGTCTATGGTGTTATAATATAAAGCCAGAAATATAATATAAAAAGTAATAAACCAAAAATTAAATACAAAATAATTTTGTTTCAAATGTTAATTTTAAAATTCCCGCGCAAACTTCAGACCGTACTGACAGCTTTACTTGCAAACTTCACTCCGATGCCCACCTAGTACATCCGGCATCTTCCTCGTCGTCGTAAAACATCGATTCAGTCGTAGTAGGCCGCGTTAGTTCAGTTTCGGTTTTGTTCTAGTGCGCTTCATCGTGTCGATTTAAACCTTTGAATATATTCATTTCGTGAATCGTTTATCTATCTATATATTATGGCTGCAACAATGGAAGATAAAATTAAGAACGAACCCGTTATCACATCGAATGGACCTCAACACAAAAAGCCAGGCGGCCAAGGGCCCCCGCATCACCAAGGCGGCGGTAGAGGTGGACGTGGCGGCGGCATGGGACCCAACAAATTCATGGGCCGTGGAGGATTATTTAACAGAAACCAGAATAACAGACAAAATGTACAGAATCCAAATCAGCATCAAAGCCAACACCAAAACCAAGATATGAGCCAGAATAAAATGAAAGTGAGTATGGCGACGTCCGCCATTTTGTGCTTTGATTATATTTAGATAATGTTTATGCTTATTATGTATTACGTTTCTAATTGTTTTTATTGATTTTAGTTGGATGATCTTAAAAAAGAAGATATTAAAATTGGGGGCATGCAAAGAGGTGGTGTAAATAGACCCGGCCAGGGTAATAACATGCAAGGCGGTGGACCCCGAAGGGGAGAGGTAAGCGTTTTCAAATTATATAATCCTAGTTTAATAATTTTAAAATGCTGTGCAAATCGATTTTTATACTATTATAAACTCACACGTGTACACATTTATTATTAGAACAGTTTTCCATCGCCATTTTGTAACTATAGCTAATCTTTTGCATCCGCATTGCTTTATAGGTTCTGGCTTTATAGGCAATTAATTTGAATCATTAGTTCAATAATTTTTTTAACACGGGTTTTGTTCAATGTGCATTTTTTATTCCTCTCGATAAGGGATATTTAGATACATTGAACTATGAACTTTGAATTTAGTGATTAGTGATTACTTCGATGCACACTTTTAATAGTACTAATTTCTTATTTTAAAAATGTTGATTTAAGGGCACTTTTTTATACTTTTTGAATTTAAGTGTGCTTTTTGCTTCCCACACTTTTGTTCATTACATTATGTAATTCTCATATAACAATATTCAGATTTTTAGGAATCTGTTGTATGATGTATGGCAATTTAAGGACCTATGTTTTGACTTTAGAATCAATTACTAGATTCATATGTGTAACATAATATATTTAACAGTAATTGTCTTTGTTACATTGCATATTATGATTGCAATGTTTTTTAGTTGTACACATTTTTGGGTATCAAAATTAGAATTTATTTTACTAAAAATTCTAGTCTTTCAATAGTTTATTCATTGGTTTTGTTTCTATTGATATTTTAAATCTTCGCTTACCCTTTACATGAAAGCTTGTCTCAAAGGCCATCTTTTTAAATTTTTGTAATAAAATTGATAAAAATTTCACTCCTATAATAATTCAATTCAAATTACTCACAAATTTAATTGTTTAAATGTTTTTTGTGGTATGCAAGCCAATCAAACTTTTCACATTTATTTTAATGCATTATTTTCCATTTTTATTAGGATTCCTATTCGTTTAAATACAGAACCTAGCTTTACCATTACGACAAAGATAAAATTATTCAAAATTAAAATTTATATAGTTAAAATTCAAAAATATAAAATTTGTAACTAAATATTTGATTTTGATCTTTAAATTATAAAAATCACAATCGTTAGATATTGGTCGAGTGAATTTTGCAAGGTTTTTGTTTCGAAAGGATTATAATAAAGGAAGTGAAATAATTTTTATTATTTTAGTTCATTATCTTAAAATTTTTTTTTTTGACCTCATTTTAACTGATTCTCTTATTGAATCAGTATCAACAGTTATTTATTATATAAAGTAAAGTATAATACAGATAATTTATTATCTTTAATAATTTCAATTACATGACCTCATTTTGATCTTTTAAATAAACATCATATACAGCTAAATGATTATCTATTACAATTACAATCATTTTAAGAATTCTTTTTTTTTATACTTGAATACAAAATTTATTGAATTAGAAAAACTCAGAAAACAAAGTTATGCATACAAATTAATAAATAATAATAAAGATATATTATATAATGCTTAAATAACGGTTTAATATATGAAAAAATGTTCATTGTATGAGATAGTCAATCATATAAAATTAAAAATTTCTCCCACTTTTGTAATTATATTTTAACTAGCAGTTTTTTTTTTCAGAATTTATATCAAATTTTAGATTTTATCACTTAACATAATACTACAAATTGTAATTTTTTTAATTTTTTATTGCAAACCTTTGTTTTTTTGCATAACATTATCTACAATAATTTATTTTACATCACTTATCATAACATTTATGATCATTTCATAATTTCTTCTCCATTTATTATTGTAGTTTGTTTTTTCTAAATTTATTTCATATTATGTTCCATACAAGTATTTTAAATATACTTCTCAATATTGAAATTTATTCGGAGTTTATTGAATTCAAATTTGAATAAAAGATTTAAGATAATATGATACAATGTTACAATGCTTAAAATAACAGTTCATTATTATATGAAATCGCCTTGTTAATAAAAAACGCACCTAATAGAGATTTTGAATTTGTATTTATGTCAATGATTATATATTATAGGTATATTTTTATTTAAAATATTAAATTTTATCACATAGAAATTATAATTTTTTCTAATTTCTTATTGCAAACCTTAGATTTTTCACATAACTGATTATATAATTTTTATATTATATATTCATATACATGAAATTATTATTACATCACTTGTAATCTTCACAATCATTTTATAATTTCTTCATTTCTTATAGTAGTTTTTTTTTATATAAATTTATTCCATATTTATACTTACATTCCATATTTAGTTTTTTTTTTTAGGATTTTACATGTTTCAATATTTATATGTATTTATATTACATAACCTTTAACTATATACAAGTATTTTGCATATATATTTCTTTATTCTTCAAAAACTGGTCATACAAATCAAATAAATCACAAAACATGCTAAAAAGATTAATTAATCTTTTTTTCATTATTACTATTAACTCAAGATTAAAATCATTATTAATTTTGTAGTCAAATACATTAGCCATTTTCAATTATAATCATTAATTCATGGATTCAATAGAATTATGCAGGTCTTTTCCATATGTTATATCTACCAACAAAAGTTTAGAATTAGTTGGAGATTTTTAATCTTATTCCATCATATGTCTATTTATCTACTATAGTCTGATATTCGAAATATTAAGATAAAATAATGTAAAATATTGGATTGTTACCAAAAATTTGATTGACCAATAAATATAATAATTTAATAAATAGTATACCTTGAATAAAAAATATGAATTTAATTATGATTTTCACATGTTCTAATTCATATATCCTTTACCCCCAGGAACACATGCTCCAGCAGAAGCTGCAAACCCTCACCGGTCCGGTGCTGGATCTTCCTCCCCTAGACATGGCAGAGGTTAAATTCTCAGGCCGTGGCAGGCTCTATGTTGGTAATTTGACCAATGACGTTACAGAGGAAGAAATCATTGAAATGTTCAAACCCTATGGAGAAACCAGCGAACATTTCATCAACAAGGAAAAGAACTTTGGATTCATCCGCATGGACTATAGAGTCAATGCTGAGAAGGCAAAGCGAGAATTGGATGGTAGCATTCGTAAAGGAAGGCCTCTGAGGATTCGATTTGCACCCAACAGCACTGCAATCAAAATCAAGAATCTCACACCGTGGGTTTCAAATGAGCTGTTGTATAAGGCGTTTGAGATTTTTGGACCGGTGAGTAATAATAAAAAAAAGTTTATTTTATTTTAACATGTTTATTTGCAGACAAATAGTCTAAATAAGAGAATCATTTATTCTGTACAGTTTTATATTGTATGTGTGTCATCATTCAATTTCTTCCTTTCATTTTAAAGAGAATTTAAAATGATAAACAATTTTAGCAAACTTTCTAAGATTATAATTTAATATTTTTTTTATTACATAACACTTAATTTTTATATAATATTAATGGTATTAATACAAATGATCTTATCAGTATGTGTCATTATCAATAATTAATACAATAATCCTATGATTAATAATACCAATCATTATTTTGTATGAAAAATTGTGATTTTAGAAAGTTGCTGAATCCATAATTATGTTAAATCCGTTTTTATGTAATTCAAATTTTTCTTTGATAGTACTTAAACTTAACTGAATGTTTCAATTTTTTCCAATTTCTGATTTTGAAATTTCTTTCAAATTTTAGATATGATGATTTTATTTTATATATTTTTTTTAATTCATCTCTAAACATACTTTCAATTCTATTTTCCAATTTCTGATCTTAAGTTTTTTATTAATTTATTGTAAATTTTAGATCTGACTACATAACTTGTTCATTATATTATATACATATGACTTAATTTTATCTCTTATCACATTTCTGATTGTTTTATAAATTTTCTTAAAATTTGACAACCATTTCAAAATTTATTTTTATTTATATTTTCTTTTAATTTTAAATGATTTTTTTAGATTTGACTAGATTTATATTTTTTTAAATTTATCACATATCAATTATTTCAAAATTTATTGCCAATTTTTTATTGGAAATTTTTGTTTTGTCTATATTTTTCTATCTCAAAATATATATATTTATATAGTCAATTTCAAAAAAATCTAAAATTCGAAAATAATTCTAATTGGTTACGTCACATCTTGCTTTATTTTTTTACATAACTTTATTCTTTATTATATATATGTAATATTATTTTATATCCCTTATTATAATACTTGAAATTATTTCAATTTTCTTTCATACTTTCTGATTATAACCTTAATTTTCTTAAATTATTTCCAATTTTATTATATTTGATTGACTGACTTAAATGAATTTATTACAATAATTTTTAAAATTCATAACTTATATTATTTCAAAATTTATTGACAATTTTTCATCGTAAAGTTTTATCTATATATTTTTTTAATTCTG